CCTATCACTGTCCTCACTGGTGTCCCTAATTCAACTGGAGACTGGACACTGGGATCCAAGGGAAGATGGGAGAAAATGACTTCCCATCAACTAGGAGTAGTGAGCTACCCTTATAACATGTGTGCTCTCTTTCTACTGGACTCTTCCCATACTCAAGGCCTAGTGTGTCAGAGACTTTGGGGGAAGGGAGCAGGTCAAATTGTTCTTAGTTTATCACCTCAGTTAATACCTCTTGCTAAAAACTATTCAGATTGGCTAGCTGAATGATTCTCAGATGATAAATTTGGAGGAGAAGCATATCAGTGGGGGCTCAAGCCTATAGCATTAGAGAATCACCTCTGAGCCCTTAGAATACCCCTAGAACCCTGATAATAAGCTATATCCAAAATCTAGGAAACTGACTTATCAGCAGGAATGTGAATTGAGATAAGGATACCTCATAGCTTCTATGGGCTACATATGTTGAATATATCTTTCCCACTAAATAAATATATTAATAATATACATAAGCCATGCACATGCATATATATGTATAGTATATATAGTGTCCCTAAAGTCTTAACACAGCTTTAAGCTATTGAAGTCCAAAACTGCATTAAAACTTTTGGAACATCATATACATACATATATACACATATATAATATGAATATATATGTGTAATATACAATGTGGATATAGAACATACATAATTATTAATATAATAATACATTATGAATGCTTGTTATATTTTTATATACATATACATATGTGTGTGTGTGTGTGTGTGCGTGTGTGTGTGTGTGTATACCTACACTGAAAAAAAACCTTTTCTTTTAGGGGTATGTTCCATATTCAGGGGCAGCCTATATTCAGATTAATATGATCCTTGTCACACATAATAATTTAACTTTCTTTTCCACTAATTGAACATCTATTCAGATGTCCATTCAGTTGTAGGTCTGTGTTCCTTGCCTAACATATCAAAAAATGGTCTTAAATTCCCAGAATCAACATTTAAAAGTTCAAGAAATGTTAGATTTGAAGAATGCTAGTGAGGTAAGGAACTTGTAAAAGGAAGTGGGGGTGGATAGGTTTTATGTCAGAAGTTTTTGGTGTTTGTCATATTCTTAACTCAAAAAGAAATAGTCATGGGACGTGGATTTTGATGAGGTTGGGCTACTATGGAAAGCTTTTGGAAATATTGCTAGTGGCTTCAGAGACTGCTTGCCCTTACTATTTTTGTTGTTGTTGCTCAGAAAAAGAGAAGGTCTATGCCTCTAGAAATTCTATTTAGTTGTTCGAGAATTTTTCTAGCACATAATTGCTAACATCTTCATCTTCCTAGAATTCTATGTAGCATTTGATATGATTGATCATGCCCTTTCTCTCAAATGCACTTTATCCTACCACTCTTGACAAGCAGGGTGGCACAGTGGATAGAGGGTTGGCCCTGGAGTCAAGAAGACCTGAATTCAACTACTTCCTCAGATAGCTATGTGACCCTGGACAAATCACTTGATTGCTATCTGCCTCAGTTTCCTTAGCCATAAAATGAGGATCCTAGTAACACCTACCTCAAAGGGTTGTTGTGAAGATCAAATGAGATAATATTTGTAAAGTGCTTAGAGCAGTTCTTGGCACATAGTAGGTGTTTAATAAATGCTTGTTTCCTTCCTTCTTCTCTACCCCCATTATAATTCAGTGCTTTATTATGAATGAATGAAAAATCATTTATTAAGCACTTACTATATGCCAATCCCTGTACTAAGCATGGAGGATACTTCTTTCTGTGCCTCTGTAATTCCTTTATATAAAAATCTATCCATCCTTCCAGGCTAAGCTCAAATGCCAATTCATTTAAGGGCAGTGGGTGGAGATATGATTAAGGAAGACTGCATAAAGAACGTGATTTTTCTTTCATCTGAATACCCACACCTCTCCCTATTTCTCTCATGGCATGTTTCACATTTGCCTTCTATTACAGTTATTTTTGTACATATCTTATCCTCTCTCCACCCGCTACCAAATTGTCCTTGCTTCTTGAAGGCAGGGAATATGCCTTAGTTATCTTTGTATTGCCCAAGATACTTTGCATGGTACTTTGCAGAGAGAGCTCAATAAATATTTTTGAATGAATACATTTCTAAATATGCACATTAGTATACCCTACCTCATCACTATTTATATATGTAGTTTATTAGCTCATTTTAATGCTAGAAATTGCAAAGATTCTCTGTTGAGAGAAGCCTATGAATGTCTGTCAAAAAAACCCAGTTAATTCTTCTGATTATATTTCCAGAAAAGGTAAATTTGGTTGTTTTGGGGCAGAAGACCATTAAGGAAAAGTGTTTTTTTTAAATTGGAAAATATATCTAGAGTCCAAAATAGGGTAGGTTCTTAAAGGGTTTCCCATTTGTGTCTTTTTAGTGGGTGTTCAGAAAAAAAAGAGATGGAAAAGATTCCCTGGACAGACTGACTTAAAATGGAATAGATCTGCACAGATTGGCAATAGGTAGGGACCAAAATTAAAATAGACTGAACTTCGTTGGGCCACAGATAGGTTAGACTAGAGACAGACTGACAATGGTTGGTTATCATGGGTCACATGACAAACAGGAGAGCGCACAGTGACAACTTCACATTTTTCATGGGCTGCCCAAAATCCTTTGGTGGGCCACAAGCAGCCAGTGGGCTGTGTGTTGTGCACACTTGAAGTAGAGTATGTAGGGACTTTTTACTTGTCATTAAAAAACTTGATCAAAATAAAAAGGTCTGATCACAGCAGACTAAGTTCAGTAGAAACATTCACAATAGTAATAATAGCCAACATTTATATGGAACATACAGCCCTCAGAGATAGGTGCCATTATTATCCCCATTTTACAGATGACGAAAGTGATGTGAACAGAAGTTAGGTATCTTGACCAGGTTCACATAGCTAGTAAGTATTCAAACACTGTGCTCCATCCACTATGCTACCTAGCCATCCCACGAAAGGGAAGAATGATTTCATTTCCCACTAGGTACCTGTGAAATCCAAACCTACCTGTTAATTTGGACACACTTTAATTTACTAATGGGTATTAATGGCTTTAATTTAATTTCATATAAAACCTCATAGTAAGTCATGAAGACTTTTATTGCAGGTGTGTTTACTTCATTCACTCCAAGAAAAAGAGCATGGAAGAAGACTTCAGTTAGCTGGAAATAAATACAATTTTAATGAGGTCAGAGAGCTAAATCTCTGTTCATGTATTAGCAGATTTTCTAATTGGGGGCTCTATTCTGTTATTATTTATATTAATTTTAATTTATATTAATATTTATTTTATTAATAACTTTTCATTTAAAATAAACTCCATAAATAGCAGGGGAAAAGGCCATGTGGATCCAAAAGCAAGTATATTCCCATTAGGCTAAAAAAGTGAACTGATTGTTGTAATGGGTATAGCTGATTAAATCTCCAGCCTCAGCGGTGTGAGAGAAGTAAGGTAAGGAGAGGGAGGATAGGGCAGTCACCAGAGAGAAGATCACACTCTGAATTAGTCCCATAATGACTATCAGGGGTGCACAGCAAAAGGAATGATATGTAGAGCACTGAAATTATCAGCCCCAATTCAGAAAATCAGTCTCTCTCTCTCTCTCTCTCTCTCTCTCTTTCTCTCTCTCTTTCTCTCTCCTTTCTCCTTCTCTCTTCTCATCTCTTTCTCTCTGTCTCTGTCTTGCTGTCTGTCTCTCCTCTCTCTCTCCTCTCCTCTCCTCTCCTCTCCTCTCCTCTCCTCTCCTCTCCTCTTCTCTTCTCTTTTCTCTTCTCTCCTCTTCTTTTCTCTGTCTCTGTCTCTGTCTCTCTCTCTGCAGTGATGGAAACCTAGATTTTCATACTTCTTTTTGAATGAGGAAGTAAAATAGCATTTATTTACCACTTACTATGCATAAAATTGCTGAAGTTACAAATAGAATAGCAGAGTTTACAAGTCTGCCAGTAAAGCAAGACTAAATCGTATTTCTAGAGAAGAAAAGACATTTATACAAGTAAACTTATAGAAAGAAGACTCAGAAGGGAGAGTTAGCTGAACATGGGGAATCAACTTCCTTTCCTATACCTTTCTCCACCCATAGATCCCTGCTAAAGAGTCCCTCCATTGCACACTCAACACACAAAAAGCCTAGGCTTCTGGATATGCATCTGAGGACAAATTTTCCTAATAATAACAACTGAAATTTAAGGTTGGAAAAGTGCCTTGTACATGAGGCTTCGTTTAATCTTATACCCTGGGTATGACAGATATTGTCATCTTTAATTTACTTTTAGAGAAACTGGGGCTTAAATCGCTTGAATGACATACATGGCTATAGTCAACTAGTGAGTATCATTAAGTTTCAAGTTAAAGTCAAATGTGTCATTTTGCAGTTGTGTCTGACTCTTCGTGACCCCATTTGGGGTTTTCTTGGTAAAGGTACTGGAGTTGTTTGCCATTTCCTTCTCCAGCTTATTTACAGATAAGGAAACTGAGACAAACAGGGTTAAATGACTTGCCCAGGGCCACACAGCTAGTAAGTGTCTGAGGAAATATTTGAACTTAGGAAGATGAATCTTCCTGGCTCCAGTTGTGACACTCTACCCACTGTGCCACCTAGCTGCCCCATGTCTTTTGGCATCTGAAATTCAGCATTCCTTTCCTATTTTTTGATGGCATTACTGTATTACCAGCCATTCAGGTTATACACTTCTGGACTTAGACACTTCCTGACATAATTGACATTAGAAATTCTTTAGGTCACCTCTCATTCTCTCTTCTTATCCACAGCAAGGCTTGAAACACATTTTGAGGTCATCTAGTTCAGCATTTTCATTAAACAAAGGCATTCCCATGGTTCATCTTGCCTTAAAATGATTTCTGTTTTATTGAAATTCCTACTTGGCTGTTTTCTATAAAGTGTTGATTTTATGTCATTTTTACATTAACAAAATCTAAGTAAAAAATCCTGCTTATGTACAATTTTTAAAAAAGGTACTTACTGGTCTCAGGAGATATTGTCTTGACAGTGAGAAGTTTAACGCTTTCTTTGTCTGATTGGGGCCTATTTATAGTAGAAAGATTAAGTTAGCACCAAAATAATTGGCATGATTTATCTTTATAAAAAAGTACATACTATCAAGAAAAAAAGCTACTTTGTATCTATAGTAGATAACATGTCTGTCCATGTATATACATACACACAGTCTTTTCAATCTCTCTTTTAACCAAATCAAAAAAGATTCTATTCCATTCTGATACAAAAATACTCATCAGATAAAGCAAAGCCCAACACAAACAGATTCAGAGTAAATGTTATTAAGTCTCCAGTACTGAATTAAAAAGTAAAGGAGATAGAAATGTTCCCAGAGACCTGAGTATTTTCTGGGCACTTGGCTAAATGGATAGAATGCCAGGCTTGGATTCAGGAAGACCTGAGTTCAAATTCAGCTTCGGGTACTTAATAGATATGTGACCCCAGGCAAGTTACCAACCCTCTGTTTGCCTCTGTAAAATGGAAATAATAATGGCACCTACTTCCCAGGGTTATTTTGAGGAACAAGCAGGATAATATTTGTAAAGTGCTTAGTACAGTGATTTTTTACATAGTAGGTGGTAAATAAATGCATGTTCCCTTCTCCCTCCCCTTTCTTTTCCTATATTTAATCCAAATTCTCCATTCTTAGTTCATGTAGGGAGGCATATTGGGAAAGAGATTTTTTGAAGGTTTTTGATACTCAAAAAAATTGACAATAGCCTTCTGTCTTTCTAGGTTGAGTTTAATTCAACTTTGCAAAAATGCACACGTGCATTGGGTTTCTTGGGTTTGTCATTCCCCTTTATAACTAATTAAGTCTTTTCTCTCTCACCTTGGCTTTTAATGGCCAGCTTATTTGTTTTCAACTATTTTGTCTTTTTATACAACAACTTTGCAGTCTCAGAGTCATTCCTGGGGACAAGGACGTGCAGATTAGCTTTCAAGTGTCATGTCTGATTATTCTTTAAGCAAGCACTCAGGGCTTGGTTTAGTCTCGTTTACATGTTGTAAATTTCCGTTGGCAAATTCTATTGTAGGATCATACATTTAAAGGTGAAAGGGATCTTAACAATCACTGAATCCAACCCTCTAATTTTGCAGATGAGGAAACTGAGGCTCAGAGAATGTAAGTGATTTGACCAGATTAGAGGATTTTTTTCCCCAACTCAATTCAATGCTTATTGAAATTCAAACCAAAGTGTCTAGCATATTCTCTAGTATACTGTTATCTCTCTCTCTCTCTCTCTCTCTCTCTCTCTCTCTCTCTCTCTCTCT